ATATATATATATTATTAAATTATATATATATATATATATATATATATATATATAATAACTTTAAATTTTTTTTTTTAAATATAATATATTTTTAATTTTATTTATATTATTAGGATGGAAAACAAAGAAGATAGTATAGCAGAATAAAAGATAAAGTAGGGATTTGTAAATCATATTTAACTTTTAGAAGAAAATAAAGATTTATTTAATTATAGAAATAATTTTAAAAATACATATATAAATAAAATAAGTACATTAATTACAGATAAAAATGAAACAAATATATAAGAAAAGTAAAATATTATTAATTTTAATATATATTTATAATTAATAAATTAAATAAAAAAATAAAAAATAAATATTTAATATTATTAATACATTAATATATATATTTGTTTTATATAATTTAAAATAAAAGTATATATTAATATTTATAAAAATAAATATATATATTTTATATTATATTATATTATATTATATTATATTATATTATAAAATAATATTTATTTTTATAAATATATTTAGTATATTTATTTATTTGTCTTTATTATTTTTATTCCATTAAAAGTAAGCAATAAATCAATATGAAAGAATAAGCTGAATAAATTTTTAAATTTATAAAAAAGAAGATGATAGTAATTTAAAAAGTGTTTTAGGATAAAATCTATAATAATCTGAAATTGGTATTTTTAAAATACGATTAAATAAAAAATATATATAAAAAAGATAAACTAAATTTGAAATTATCTAGAAATAGGGAATCAGCTAAAAACAGCAGAAAAAGAAAAAAATATATATTGAATTATTAGAAACAAAAGTAAATTTATATATGTATATATATTTAAATCTAGATAAATAATATATTTATATAAAATAAATATATTTATATTTTTATATTTATTTTAAATTTAAGGTTTCTTAATTATCTGAAGAATTAGAAAAAACAAAGAAAATTTTATAATAAAATAATTAATATTTAAATAAAATTGATTTTTAAACATAAAAATTAAACGGATATACATTTGGAAGATAATAATTATATGAAAAGATAGAAAAATGTTTGACTGTATAAACTGAGGAAAACGAATTAAATTTACTTCTTGATTCTTTACGAGTAATAATAAAATGAATAAAATAATTATTTATTTAATATTTTTTGTATTAAATAAAAAGTTAAGGTTAGGCGCATAAGGAAAAGAGAGACTTAATGCTGTAAATTTTTTCTTTAAACAAATAATTGAAATTTTTATACCTACTCATTATAGATATTTATTATGGACATCAGTAGAAAGTATAATATTAATATTTTTAATTATATTATTCTTATTTTTTTTAATTATATTTTTTATTTATAACAAATAAAATAAGATTTTGATTTTTTCTCAGAAAAAGATAATGATAATGTTAAAAAATCGCCTTGGAGAGAAGAACTATAAAAACAACTTTAATTATCTAATTAATAAAAGCAAAATATATAAAAATTCAAACAAAAATTAGTTTAGGAAAAAAACAATTAGATTTGTAAATAAAACAATAAAATTAATTTTTGTTTAAAAATAAAATAGATTAATAAATCAATTCTAAACAACAAAAAACAAATTCAATACAGAGTTTAAGAAGTTGAAGGTATAATAGATAATATGAGAAATATTTTTAATCCTTAATAATCAGCATATTTTTTATTGTCTCTTGAAAAAGTAATTAAATTATATTTTAATAATTTAAAATAATAGAATAATTATAATAGAATAAATATAGAAGAGAAGTTAGCAATTAAAATTTATGGGAAGCTTTTTAAAATGAAAGTGGAGAATATGATTTTGATGAAGAAGGTTTCTATGATTATAAAGATAAGAAGATGAATGATGATAATTAAAATTAATAATAAAATAATATAAATGGTTATATAAATATTAATAATTATTCATAATAAAATAATTGTTAAGATGATACTGATAGTAATTAATCAGATAATAATTATATACTACTAATAAAAATAAAAAAAATAAAAATGACATATAAATTATATAAAAATAATATTAATATAAAGCTTTTTTACTTTTTCTAAAATTATAGATAAAAAGTTATTATTTTATTAAATTAAATTAATATATTTAAAATTTTATTTTATAAATTAATACATATAATAATATATTTAAAAAGATAATAATAATATTGTAAATATAAATAATATTTATTTATATTTTTAGAATATTATAAGTATATTTAAATTGCTTTCAAAAATTTACAAACATATGATTATTTTAGATTATATATTTTTTTTGTATTAATTATAAATCAATTTTTCATATATATATATAATAAAAAAAAAAAAATAGCAATAAAAATAAGTAAAGTTTATAAAAACTTATTATAAATATTTTTCATAGAGATTTTTTTTTAAAAAAAAATTAATAAATAGTGTGATTTCCCGAATAAAATTTATAATTTTATTTAATTTTAAAAATTTTCAGCAAGATAAATAGTATATTAAAGAATTATATCATTATGATTTTTTTTTTGATTTATAAAAATAAGTATAATTATAATAATGTTTTTAAATTTCCTAAAATTAAAATATCATAAATAAAGTTTTTATTTATTTATTTAAATTGAATGAAATTATTATTTTAATATTAAATATTTATTTCTTAGATATTTTATTTGAATAATAATTTTATAATTTTTTTTTTTATTTTTATTTTTAGAACTTGATTATCTAAATAATATTTTAAATGCACAATTTATAAATATATTATATTTATTTAAATGTTATAAATTACAAATTTATATATATTATTTGTAAGTTGAAAAATATTAAAAATTCTGGAACTTTTACTCTACTTAAATAATTTAGCATAATTATCTGCAAAAATTTAGAAACCATTTTTATTATAAATATAAAAACTATTAAATAAAAATAAAAGAAATAACAGGATTTTGAAATTAAAATCATATAAATTACTAAATATGTAAATAAAAGAATAAAATAAATAAAGCAATAAAATATTATTATATAATAATAATTAAAAATTTAATATAATTTTTCATTTATAATATTAAATTATAATATATTAATCATTTATTTATAAGTCTATAACAATGAATTTTTTTTTCAATTATAAATAGAAAGAAATAATAAAATAGTAAAAATTAAAATTAAAAATAGTTTAGAAATTAAATTCAAAGAACTATATATATTTTAGTGAAGTATTTATATTATTGGATAATTTATAAATATAATAAATTAATAGAAAATAAAAATTATATTTAATTAACTTTATATCATATTATAATTATTATAATTTTATAAATCTTTTTATACAATTAATATTCATTTGAAAAAAAAAAAAATTGAAGAATATAAATATGAGGATTGAAAATAATATAAAAACATTATTTTCCTAAGATGATAAATAAAATATAAATAAAAAAATAATTTTTAAGATAAAAATTGTACTAAATTAAGTTAATTTATAAATATAATAAAATTATAAAACGAAAATGAAAAAAATTATTTATGTATAAATTTAAACAAAATATATATATATATTAATGAGACTAATATATTATTTTATAATTTTTAAAAATAGCAATTACAATAATATGTTAATAAATAAAATTTATGAAAAAAAAAATATAAGTTACATTTAGCTAATCAAATATTATTTTATATTCTAAATTACCTTATTTACAAATATTTTTAAAATTTATATACTAAATGAAGTGAATTTAAAAAGATTAAAATTATTATTTTGTAGAAATCAGGTGTAACAATAAAAAGAAAAATTTAATTTTAAAATTAAACTATATAAAATTACTTAAATAGTAGATTAAATATGATATTTTTAAGTAAACTGTTATTGAGTAATTATTAATAAATATTATTATTTAAAAACAAGTATAAATTGAATTATTAAATAAAGATAATAAAAAAGATATTTATTTACATCAATAAAATTATAATAATCAAAAAAGATAGACGAAAAAATATATATAAATTAAATTATTATAATTTAAAAAAAATTATATTTTCTATATAAAATAATTATAATTATATAATTAATAATATAATATTATTTTTTAATTTATATTTCTTAAACATTATTAAAAAATTATTTAATAATGTAAATTTTTTGCTTTTCTTATTTTAAAATATAAAAAGAATTTTTAATTTTTAAAAAAATATTTAAAATAATAAAAATATAAATTGATTTTTTTATTATTTTTAACATAAATAAATTTTAATATTTTATAAATACAATATATATAGAAATAGATAAGATAAATATAATATTATGAATAAAATAATATATAAAAACACTAAGTTTTTTTTTTACATATAATTAAAATGTCTATCATTATTTTTTGAATTATAAATATATTATTACTTTTGTAATTTACTCATTTTAAATATTAAACATTGTTTAAATATTTATATTAAATAATTAATAGAATATTTATTAATTTAAAAATTAAAATCTATAATCTATAAACTTTAAAATATAATATAAAAATATTTTATTATTAGTTAAATAAATATTAATATTATTAGAAAAAAATATAAAAAAATCTAAAATAATATAATATTTCTATTCTTGTTTAATATTATATTATTATAATATCATAAGAAAACATATTTTTTAATACTATTTATTTATTTATTTTTTTGGTTTTAATTAATTTACAATAAATTTTTATATTATTGTTTGTTTACTTTATATTTAATAAAATTGAAAAAAAAAAAAATATTAATAATATATTATATAAATAATAATAACAAATATTATTTTATTTCAAAAAAAATTAATAAAAATGATAAATTATCATAATGCCTTCAATGAAAATTACGTTCCAATAAATTTATAATCAGGCTATGAAGAATATGGTTCCTAGGAATCATTTTTAGAATTTGTGAATATGTATTATTTCTCCCAATTTCAAAAAGATTATGATAAGATGTTAAATGGTTTACTTAGTTAAGATTATAAATTAGTAAAAGAATCAGCACACAGTGTAAAAGGATCATTTGGGTATATTTAAATTAATTTTTAAAAATGTGGATAAAATATAAAATTAAAAATAAAACAAATTTATTAATATTCTTTTTCCTTTTTTATTTAACAAAATAAAAATATATAAAAAAAAAGATATTTAAAACCTCTCATTTTAGATTAAATTTCAAATGAATTATAAAATTTTATTAAAAAAAGACTCACAGATAATCTTCCATTTACAGATGAAGATGTTTTATATATATATTAATAAGGATTAGTAGTATTAACTGAATATATAGCTTTTAAAAGATTCGTAAAAAAAACATTTAATATAGACATTGATTTACATGAATTAAAAAGTTAAAGTATATAAATATCTATCTAATTTATATAAATTAATATTAAATAAAATATTATTTATTTATTTATATACAAAGAAAAAATATATATACAATATGACATTTTTTTTTTTTTTGGGAAATTTTTTTTTTATTATTATTATTATATTTTAATTTATTTATATTAATTTTATTTTTTTTTAAGTTGATGAATGTTATAAAGTATATTTTAAAATTTGCAATATATAAACTGATAATATAAGCTTAAAATAATAAATTTCTTAAAAAGATTAAAAAGATAATAATAAATTAGATAAAACAAAATCTAAAGAAAATATGATTTTTAAATAAAGTTCTTTAAAAGATAATTCTGCAAAAGATCTTTCATTAAAAGAAAGTTCTATAAAAGAAAGAAAAGTTAAAGAAAGCTCAAAGAAATTTATAGAAAATAATTAAACCTAAATTTTTAATCAGTGTACTTAATGCGAAAAATAATAAATTATAATAGAAAAAGAAGAAAAAAATATAAAGCCTTGTTGTACTTAATGCAAATTATTTTGAAGTAAAAAATAAATAAAAAAAAATACAATTTTAATTATTATAATAAATTAATTTCTATATTTTTTTTTTTTTTTGTACATTTTTATTTTTGATTTAAAATTAAAAAAAAAAAAAAAATATTTTCTTTAACAAAATTAAAAGTATTTTATTATAAAAATAAATACATCAAAAAATATAAAAAATCAAAAAATCAAAGTTTTTAACTTTAAGTTTTTGCAATTAATAACGAATCCATAACTAAATACATTTTATTATTTTTATTTTTACAAATTTACTAAAACCTCCTAAAAATATTAGCTTAAATATTATTTTATTTGTCTTGTTCCTATTAAAATTTTTAAAAATTCTCAAAAATCTTTCCCAAATATTCAAAATCATTCAAAACAATTGAAATTCTATCAAATCCCATTTTATTTTTCTTAAAATCGTACTAAAAAACCTTAAAAACTTTCACTTAATACAAAGCCTAAAATAGTCTTCCCATTTCTAACACAAAATGTTTATTATAATCTTTAAATTACCCCTAAAAAAATTTATTTAAGCTTTCGAATTGAAAAACCAATCCCTCAACCCCAATTTATACCATTTCTTTAAATATTACATCATAAATTCCTTTAAACTCCCTAAATATTAAATCAGCAAAATTATATGAATTTAAATATTCCTCTAAATTTTCATCACATAAAACTTTTTACTATAACTATAATTATTTATAACCCCCCCAAACTTCACAACTATTGATTTCTAAATATTTCAGAAAAAACGAAAATTCATCACAAACACATAAAAAAACCTCTAAACTACATATACCATCCCCTAAATTATGCATATATCTATACATATCCGCAATTTCTACTTCCTAGGCATTCGGAAAATTAAGATTAATTATATTTCTAAAAGCCTTGAATTTAAGACCGAATAAACTAGCCTAGTCTTTTTAAATAATAGAACTTTAAATTTTAAAGCATTCTTTTAGTAGTTAAATTCGATTATTCTTTTCTATTTTATAAAATTCCAATAAAATCCTCAAAACAAAATGTAAATCAATTAATTATTTTTTACTTTTTTTTTTTTATTTACATAATCTTTTAAAACTTTCTTCACTAACATCACATTTATTTAATCGTATTTATATAAAATTCCCTCTATTACTTTCTCTACTTTTAATAAATCCCCATACATAATAGTATCAAAACTACTTTCGTGTTTTTCCATACAATTTCCTTAAAAAAGGATATTTCGAACTTTTAAATAAAAAAAAAGTTCATCTAAACCATTTTTTTCGCTTAAAAAATCCCTAAAGCAGTTTACTTCCCACACCTAGTCGATTTTTGGGCAAAATAAATCTAAAAAAAACACATTCTAATCTCATCAGATAGCATTTTTTCTTATTCATTTTATAATCGAATTTATCTTTTTTTCGTATCTAAAGTAAATTTACCAAGCCAACCATATACAAAATCAGGAAAATGTGATATTTATTTAGGATAATGTTCATAAAGGATAAATTCGTTATATTTTGAGTCTAATATGGCTCTCATTTAACCTATTAAAGAAAAAGAAATTTTACGGTTTTTAAGTTTTTTATCTCTTTTTCATAATTAGAGGTCATTTATTCAAGAAATATAAAAAAAGAAGGCTTTTCTAAAAAATAATTAAGGTTTTCTTAAAATAGAGATTATTAAGAAGCTTATTTATTTATTAAATTATCTAATATATTATTTAGGTTTAAAGAATTTTTGTCATTTTATTAATTTTTTTAATTTTTTATAAAATACTTAATCTTTTTAAAATTATAATTTTAAAATTTACAAATTTTAGTTAAAATTATTGAAATTTTGATTCTCTTCAACAAATATTTCTTTACTTTATTAAATAACAAATTTATATAATTTATTCTTAGTATTTATTAATTCATTTTTTAATTTAAAATAATCTTTTTCTTATTCAAAAAGTTATATTTTATACATATTATAATCTTCTAATTACATAAAAGCCCTTTCACGGTAATTATTGATTATTTCTTATTAGTTTTATTATATATTTTTATATTAATCTAATTCTATTTCTAATTAATCTGCATGTTTTTTATAAACTTAATATTGAAAATCAATATTATTAAATGCATTTTACAAATTAGACATTTAAATTTTATAAATATAAATTTCTCGGTCTTTATTTTATATTTACTAAATTAAATATTAATTTTAATTTCCTAATTATTGCTAAAGTTCATCTATTTTTTTTTAGTTTCAGCTAAATCTTGACATGATTCGAATTCTTATAATTTTTGGCTTAATTGAACAATTGATTAAGCCATTTTTATATTTTATAATTAAATATAATTATTAAAATTATTATTATTATTATTATTATTATTATTATTATTATTATTAGTATAATTATTAATATCATTATTTTCATTATTATTATCTCTAAAAAATGAAATATCTTTTTATTCACTTTTTTATTACTATTTTATATTATTTATTTTTGATAATTTAATAATTTCTTCATGATTTTTTTAAATGTTTTTATTTTAAAATTAGCAAATATAATTTTATATTAAATTTTATATTAATTAACTTTAAAAATTATTTATTTCTAAAAATTTTTATAATATTTTTATATTTTATGGATTTATTTACATATTTTCATTTAGTTCTAATAAAAAAAAATTCTCCATTTATTCTAATAATTTTATTTTTTATATAATATCTAAAGGACATTAATTATCTTTTTATATTTTTTCTAAAAACTTATTTATTTTTTCTTTATTTTCTTTAATTTTTTTTTCTAATTATATAAATTCTTTCTCTTAATATTATTTTTTATCACATAATTAATATAAATTTACACCTTTAAATTCTTAACTATTAAATTTTTTTTATTATGAACTTAATTATCCATTTTAGAATATAAAGACTCTGTTTTTTTTACCTATTTATAGTTTCTATACTTGATAATATTTTTAAGTTTTCAGTAAGTTTTAATTGTGTTTGTTAAATCGTTTTTTGTTGATTAAAACAGCTTCTTTAAGTAGGCATTTAATGTACATAATCATCTTTTAATTTTTGTTATTTTTAACTAAATTGTAATTTTTCTAAACTTAATTATTTATTAATTAATATTCCTTTAGGCAATAATTTAACATCTTTTTATTTTTTATGCATATTTTTCATTTTTTTTATAAAAATTTTTATATTTATTGGTTAATTATTTATTTATTTTATTAAATTATTATAAATTAATTTAAATTTTAATTAAAAGAAAAAAATATAATAATTTTATAAATAATAAGTTTCAAAACTTTTTTTACAAATATTAATATTTTATCAATTACAAGTAGCATATTAAATAAATTCTAAAGTAGAAAAATCTTCGTTATTATTTTCGACCCAAGGAGTATATTAATTATTAATTTAATCTTCATGTGAAAATATTTATATATTTTTATTCTTATTAATTTATTATTACTTTTACTATTTAAATTTATAATTTTATTAAATTAAACATTATTATATTAAATTTTATTAAAATTAACTTTATTATTATTATTAATTAATATAATTATCTAATTATAATTTATAACTATCAAATTAAAGTTTATAATTATCAATGTAAAATTTGTAATTATTAATTTTATTATAGTTGTTATTATAATTTTAATATAAATTATTATTACTGAAATTATTATTATATTAATATTTATTATTAATAAGATTATTATCATAATCTTTAATATGATTTTAATTATTATTATTATTATTATTATTATTATTATTATTATTATTATTATTATTATTATTATTGATATTATTATTTTCCTCATTATTGCATTTTAAGTTTTTACTTTAATTTAAACTAGTTTGTTTATTTTTTATTTATTATTTATTATTATTCGTATTTTTTTAATGAGCTGATTATGTTCTTTTATTAATAGTTTTTATTTTTTCAATATTTTTATTATCTATATTTTCAAATAAATCATATTTATTATTTTTTAAATTAAGATCTGTTTTTTAAGTGTAATTTCTATTTCTTTATGTTTTTATTTAATCTTTTAACATACGATTATAATTATTATTTTCAATTGCTTTTTTTTACGAATTTGTAGAATAGTGTATACTTTATATTCTTTTTTATCTATCTTTTTTATTAAAAAGTATCAAATTTTATTAAATGAAACTTTTTCTTATATTTTCTTATACTAAATCAAATTATTTAAAATTGTTATTTGTTTAAATATTTATTTAATTTTTTCATTAATTTATATTTTTTTTTATTTTCTAATGTCATTTTTTATTTATTAATCAATCTTTAAATATGCTTAATTATTATTTAGGATTTTTTTTGAATTAATTGTTTATAATTTTTCAATTTCATTTTCATTCTATGCTTTTTTATATATTTGATTTTAATTAATGGGACTTAGTATTTTGACTGATAATTCTGTTTATTTTTAATTGGATTTTTAATAATTTTATTTTTCTTCAAATAATATTTTTTAATGCAATATTCGAATATTTTATTATTAGGAATTTGTTAAATGTAATTTTTATAAAAAAGAAACATTTTTTTTATTTAAACTTTTATTATTATTCATTTTTTTAGTGATTTTAGTTTTTTTTATTATAAAATAAATAAAAATATTTTATAATTTTTTCATTTATATTTAAAATCAAAAAAATTCAAAAAATATTTTAAATTAAACCTTAGTGAATAAAAATCTAATGTTTTTGTTAATTTTTCTTATATTTTTTTTATTTCTAAATATTTTTATTTCTAATTTTATTTTATTTGTATCTTATATAGTTATTAAGATTTTTTTTTATATAATAATTAATTATTTATAATATATTTAAATTTATTATATATTAAAATTAAAATTTTTAAACTAAAAAAATTTACGATTTATAATTTGTTATGCTTTTTTTAATTTAGTAAAAGACTAAAATAAAATAAAGCTAAAAATATATACAAAAGAAAATAAAAATAAAAAAAATTAAATTCTAATATAAAATATAAACATTTTTTTATTAATCATTCAAAAAAAAGTATTAAAAATAAAATATAAAAATTTATAATAAATATTAGTTTCTATATATAATATATAAAAATAATTTAAAATACATATAGTAAATCCAAAAAAACTAAAAGAATAAAAAAACAAAAATAAATAAAATATAAAATTAAAAAGCAAAATATATTACATTAATATATATAATTAATAAAAATAATATATATATATATATAAAAAATAAAATAAAAAAAATGGCTAAAGGAATAGCAGTAGGACTTAATAAAGGTTTCATAACCACAAAATTAAACAAGAAATTCAAAAGAGAATAACCCTCTAGAAGAAAAGGATCTTTGGGTAAAAGAGTAGCTTTAGTTAGATAAACTGTTAGAGAATTGACTGGATTTGCCCCTTACGAAAAAAGAATTATCGAACTTATTAAAGCTGGTAGTGCCAAAGATAGCAAAAAAGCAACTAAAATTGCAAGAAAAAGATTAGGTACTCATAGAAGAGCCAAAGTAAAAAGAGCCTTACTTGAAGAAGCTGTTAAATAACAAAGAAAGAAATGAAATATTTGAGATATTTTTTTAAAAAAACTTTTTTTTTTTTTTTTTTTTACAAAACAGCATTAGGATTAAATAATTAGTATATTTAAGGAGTTTTATTTTTTGTTCACTAGGATTATTTTTATATTTAATTTTTGAAAAAATAAATGTCTTAAAATTTAAATTTTTTTATCTCTATTGTGTTTTTTGTAAATTTTATTATTTAAATTTTATAATAATATAAAAAAAAAATATATATATATATCTTTTTAATATATATTATACAAATGAAGATTCTTCTTTATCAAATATTTTTTTTTTAATGTAGAATTTTTTCTTTTTTAATTAATATTTTTTTTGTTTTATTTAAAATTATTTTTTAATTTAAAAAGATTTATATTTTTGTAATATAAAATAATTTTTAATATTTTTCATAAAATAAAATTTTTGTTTTTTTTTTTTTTTAAAAAAAAAATATTTTGTATTTTATTTCTACTATAAATCATAAAATATAATGTTTTTTAAAAAAAAAAAAATAAATAAATTAATCTATTCATCACATAATATATATATAAACAAAAAACTAAAAAAAAATTTTAAAATTTTCCTTTTAAATTATCATTTAATATTAATAAATATAATATAACAGCATTAATATATAAAAGTTCATTGTAGATAAACTTTTCTAGATTAAAACAATTTTAATGAAAAATGTTTTTCTTAGTAAGATATATTATAAGTGGATTAGTTAATTTAACTACATTTAAAATAAAATTAATCGGGCTAATTAAAGCTAGTGGTGCCAAATATGAAAAAAAACAATTAAAATTGCAAAAATAATATTATTTATACACAAAAGAGCAAAAGCAAAAAGGGATATATAGTTGAAGAAATCGTTGAATAATAAAGAAAATTAAGCAATGTATTTTATATGAAGATTTTTTTATAAATAATATAGAATATAATTAATATTAAATATTTAAATAAAATATAAACATCTATTTATTTATTTTTTTGATATTTTTTTTATTTAATTTTTTTTTTAATTTATATAGTAAAAATAAAAATAAAATTAAAACTTTGAATATTTTTTTTTTTTAAAAAAATGGATTCGAAATAGTAATAATATTTAATAAAAAAATTAAAAAAAATAATAATAAAACTATTTTATAATACATTTTATAAAAATAAATACAATTATTAAAAAATATAAAGCGATCATTTATTTAAAATACTCTTAATTGGTAATTCTGGAGCAGGAAAAACATGTATATTAATGAGATATTCAGTAATAAATTATTATTTAAAATAAATAAAAACTAAAAATTAGGAAAATTAATTTACTTATAACTTTTATAATACTATTGGTGTCGACTTTGTATGTTAGTTAATATAAATAACATTTGAATATAAAAAAATTATTTAAATATTATAAAATATAATTATTCCAAAATTTTAAATTTTTCTAAAAAAAAAAAAAAAAAAAGAAAATAAAATCTTTAAGATTAGAAGATAGAAATATTAAGCTTTAAATTGTTATTTTTATTTTAAAAAATAAATACAAATATAATATAAAAAACAAAAAATAAAGTGGGATACAGCAGGGTAAGATAGATTTAGAACAATTACTTGTAGTTATTACAGGTAAAATAAAATATATTTATTAACAAAAAATATATATCTATATAAATATATAATCATTAAATAATATTAGAGGTGCTTAAGGAATTTTAATAGTATATGATATTACAGATAGAGAGTCTTTTGAAAACGTAAAAACATGGATGAGTGAAATTGAAAAGTTTATTTTATTTTTATTTAAAGAAAAAAAAACAAGCAAAAGAAATTTATAAATTAATTTTTATAAAATAAAATAAAAAGACATGCAAAAGAAGGTGTTTAAAAAATGTTAGTTGGAAATAAATGTGATTGTAATGAAAATAGAAAAGTTACATATGAAGAAGGATTAGAATTAGGTATTAAATAATATTTATAGTTTTATAAAATAAATATATATATAAAAAGCATAATAATATAAAATAAATTTTATGGAAACATCAGCAAAAAATGGTTAAAATGTAGACTTGTCATTTACTTTACTTGTAAAGACAATGTATTTTTATTTAGAAAAAATAAAATAAAAATGAAAATAATTAACATATATATTTATATTAAATATATATAATTTATATAAAGTATGAATAAGAATGGAAATTTATAAAATACAAATAATATAGGAATGAAAATAGCACCTTAATATTAAAATTAAAAGTTAAATTAAGATAATAATAATAAAAATAATTAATAATAAGAAGATTGTTGTTGAATATTATTAAAAACAAATAAATAAATATATAAAAAAAATATACTGAAACATAGAATATATTCTATCTTATAAAAGAGTTAGTCATTTAATAAAAAATATATATAAATTGAATATTTTTTTTACGAATATATTATTATAATTAGTATTTTTAAATATAAAAATAATTTAAAATTTATCTATTTTATATAAATTAGAAATATAAAAAAAATATTTTTAGTTTATTATAATATTTTATAAATACTTTAATATTAATTTAAAACTTTATATCAAAATATAATGTAGTCTATATTCTTTTTTTGCTCTTAAGATATATAATTAAATTATTATTATTTTGATAATATTTTATTAATAAACTTTTTAAATTATTAAAAAAATTTATAAAATTATAAAATAATATTTATATATATTTAAAAATAAAATTTATATAGAAATGTTTAAATATTTATGATATTTTATTTTTTTTGAATACAAATTTATTTAAAATTCAGAAAATTAAATTTAGTAATTTAGCTCTTAAACATATAAAACTCTTTTATATAGTCTCATCAGACAAATTTATACCATATTAAGCAAATACTATTTAAGTAAATATTCGGAAAATCAAATATATTTAAAGAATTATAATTATTTAAATTATATTTGTTATAAGAATAAAATATAATTTTATATAGAAATAATAAAAAAATTATATTATTTTAAAATATGATTATAAATCTTAATTTCTATTCGTTTTATTTTCTTATGATTGTTTATTTATTAGGTAAATATTAAATATTATTTTATAAATAAAAATACAAATATTGATGCTTTTTTCAAAATTAATTATTTTCCTTTTAAATAAATTAATAATTTTTTGAGTTATTCTTTGTTAATTAATTTTGAAAAAAATAATATTAGATTTTTAAAATATGTTTATTATTGTTTTTTTAAAAGTTTAATTTATTTTAAATCTTTTTTAGTTTATTATTTTTATTTATTAAATTAAAAATGAATTTTTTAGTACTTTCTAATATTTTTATTTTTGGAAAAGATTATTTTTTAAAAAATAAAATAAATTCAATTTAATTTTTATTTTTTTTACAATTTAGTTTAAATTTTTTTATAAAATTTAAATTTTAATGAAGATTTAAATAAACATATTATATTTTTTCTCAGATTATAAACTTAATTATTATTTTTAAAAAATTATTAAATAAATATATAATCAATAAAATTTTATATTTATATTTTAAATTAGGTTTTTTATTCTTTTAAAAAATTTGATCTTAATGTAAAATGTAAAATTTTGTTTGTTTATAAATAAACTTTTGTTAGAATTTATAATATTTAATATTTCAAGTTAAAATTATATTAAAATAATATAGTAAAATTATTTATCTAAAAAAATAAAAATAAGTATAAAAATTAAATATTTTACAATCTCTATTTTTTTTTAAAAAAAAATATAAAAATAATGGATTGTTTATATTTTACAAATCTTATTTCGTTTAATTAAATACTTATATTTGAAAATTAAATTTTGAATATATTTTAATTTATATATATATATATATATATATATATATATATATATATATATATATATATATATATATATAATTAAAATGTTATTTAACATTTTTATGAATACTTTTATTAAAAATAATCAAATAAATTATTTTTGATATAATTAAGTTTTTTTAAAAATAATTTATTTTATTGACATAAAATAAAAACTCAATATTTTCCGTATACATAGAATATAAAAAAAACTACTGGTGAGCTAAAAGTTAAAGAATCCAACTAAAAATAAATGTATATATATAAATAAAATAAAATACTCTATCCAAAATTCCGCCATGTCCAGGAAAAAGACCCCCTGAATCTTTAATATTTGCAGTTCTTTTAACAAAAGATTCGACTAAATCTCCAAATACTGCAAAGCATCCTCCGAAAAACCCAACTAAAACCATTATTAATAAACCAGATTTAGGTATAAACTCAAGTTATAAAAAATGTAATAATACACTAGTAAAAGTACTTAATATAACAGCACCAAAGACACCTTCCCAAGTTTTTTTAGGTGAAATCCTTGGACAAAAAGGGGTTTTTCCTAATGCTGAACCTAAAAAAAGAGCACCATTATCACTTTAAAAGGATATAATTATCCAAAAGATAACACAAGAATATCCTCTTTCATAATCATAGAATAAGATTGGAAAAGCTAAAGGAAAAACAAAAATTATAAAATAAAAACTATAAGCAGATATTTAAATAAAAGTAATTAAAAATAAAGTCTCGTCTTTATTTTATGGTTATTAATAAATTAAAAATTAAATCATTTTTATTAATACGATTATCATTAATGATAAAAATAAATAAAAATTGGTTTCTTTTAAAATATCATTAGAAAAACTTATACAAAGGATAAAAAATTAAATAGGAATTTAAATAAGCTATTATTTTTAAAAAAATATATTTTTTTAATATATTATAAATAATATATATATATTTATATATATATAAATATATATATATATATATATATATATATATCAAATATATTTTAATTTTTATTCTTATAAATATATTTTAATTTTTATATATATTTTAAATTTATATATATCTATTTGTATTAGATATTTATTTAAATATTTATATTTATTTTTATATACATATCTTTTTTGAAATTTTTTTATTTATTAATGTTTTTATTTACTTCTCTTTTATTTATTATTTATATATAATTTTCATATTTTGTATCAAACTATTTTTTTAATATATTACTTATTAGTATTGTATATTCTTTATACGATAAAAAAGTTGAAACTTATATTTTTATTTATTTATTATTTTAATTTATCCTTTTTTTATTTTTTTTACTTTATGCTATAAAAACTGCTGTTATTTTATATTATACTAAATAAATTAATATCGGAGCTATTATAGAAGCAGTTATTACTCTTTTTTTCCACTCTACCATATTATTATTACTTTAAATTATATTTTTTATATAAAATAAAAATAATATATTAATCTAAAAAATTTTATTTTAAAAGATATAAAGCTTTTGATATATTAATAATTAGTTATTTTATTGATTTAAATTTAAATATTTATATTTTAATAACAAAGAATTGAAAATTATAAATTTTATATAAGAATAAAATAAGATTAAATATTTATAAAAAAATATTTAAAAAAAAAAAAATCTTTTACTAAAAATAAAATTATTCGATTAAATTATTTATAAAAAAAATAAAAAAAAATATTTTTATAATTAATAAATAAAATTCTTATAATTATATATATAAAATTATTTTAATATATATTTTAAAATAAAAATATATTTATTTATATTTTATAATTTCTTATATTATATAATATCTTTTTTCTTTTATTTTTATAATTCATATATTATTTTTTATATTTTCATTAATTATACATTACAATATTTTGAAACATTTTATAATCTGTTTATTTCATTATTTATTTTTAATAATTATAATTACAAATATTTTGATTTTATCTTTATATATATAGTATTTTATACTTTGAAATTAAAAATTCTTATTTAATATAAATTTTATAATAAATACGCCCAAAAAATACTGTAAATAAAAAATAAAAAACTCAAAGATTATTTTTAATATTTTCTAAAGTCTTTTTTATAAGTAGTCTCTAATTTCCTTAATCAAATACACAATTTACCCCTTTAAGTTACTGAACAGTTTTTTCAATACTCTAATATTTAAAAATATTCTACAATATATCCACTGAAATCCCTTCCGGTCCATACGTTTTGCAAATTATTTTAACAGCCCAAATAATCCATTTTTAAATATAAATATCCATAATATATTTCCCATGATCTTTACATTCTTAATATAATTTAAAAAACCCACTAATATTTCCCATATTAATGAAATGTTAGAATTCCATAGCTTTTTTCAAATAAGCATTTTAAAGAAATTAATCTTAATTAATTTCCTATAAACATTAATAAATTTCTAAATTTTTTTCTTCGAAAATATACTAAATAAGCCTATAATAAATAAACTCTATCAGAAACAATTTTCTAGAGATTGTCTAGTCTTTATGAAGCCATATAATTTCCCCTAAACACCTATTAAATTCCTAAATATCATAATTTTCTAAGCAAACCCTCGCATTTTATTCAAAAACTTAAAGTTTGAATTCCTTATTTATATCCTAAACCATAATATCCTATCTAATAGACCTAAACTAACTTTAAAAATACCTATATTCTTCATCTTAATTATCATTATATTTCTTCATAATAAAATCAAAACTTTTTTTTAATGTTTCCTCACTTCTTACTTCATTTGCCTTTGGATAAGTTGTTAGTCTTAAATATTCTTTTTCTATTTAAGTATTTGTACCTATTACAGGTTCTTTAGGTAGAAATTCTTCAAAATTAATTTAATTATTTTAAGTTTAATTTTAAGAAGATATTATAAATGGAATTTTTTTTATTTTTCATTTTCTTCGTCTTTATTATCTATTTAATTTGTTTATATATCCAGTTTTATTTTTTTTACGATTTTTTCTACTAATTATTATTGTTAAACTTATTAATTTTTTAACATTTTTTAATTTAAATCAGGCAAAATTCCCAAAAAACGTTCCCTATTTAAAACCGGAAGTTATTATTATTTCCAGTTTTTTATAAAAAGCTCATTCTAATTTTTCGCTTAAATAAGTTCTTATAGAATATATTTTTTCATTTCTTTTCGCTCTTTTTTATTATTGCATTTTGTAAATGAATTTCTTAAATATTCCTCTAATCCATCAGGAATTTCTTAATTTTAAATTTCTATATTTATTTCTTATTAATTTTTTTTATTCATCTTTTTTATTATTTTTTATTGAATTTCAGATATTTGGATATCTTTGGATTCTTTATTTATTGTTTTTTTCATTGCACTAATTAAATCATATAAAGAAAAACCATTATCGTCGTTTTCTTAATCAAGAATATGCATTTTTTTTTAGATGTTATTAATTATATATATAAAAATTTTTTTATATTTTTTTTTTTATTATCAAGGCTTTTTATATTAATATATAAAATAAATATATATTATAAAATATTAATATTTTATTTTTTTATTTAAAATTTTATTTTTTATAATAATTATAATATTTTCATTAATTATTATAATAATAAAATAATAAAAATTTGAATTCAATATTATTAAAAGTATTAGAACTTATTTTTTTTATAAAAAGAAACTATAAAAAGACTAATATTATAATTAATGAGATTAAATAAAATTTCTTTTTTTTTATGTCAATTTAATTATTTAATATATTATAAATTTTATCTATTTTATCTTAAAATATAAAATTAAAGTTAAAAAAATATAAAAATAAATGTTTTATTATTTTTAATTTGATATTTTTATGAAATCAAAATAACAATATTAAAATGCGTAAAAAATAAAAAAATATATATAATTGTTTTTTTTTTTTTGATTAAGATTTTTTTTAAAAAAAATCTCACTAAAAATTAATATTATAAACATTAAAATTTAAAAAAATATTCTATTTTTTTACTTTCGCAATAAAAAAACTAAAAAAAATATATAAATTAAAACAATAATTTTAAAATTAATGTTTAAAAATATATTCCCACATACAAATAAAAAAAGAAAATCCCAATTAAAATAAAGTCAAATAAATAAAATAATTTTTTTTATTTAAAAATAACAAAAATACATAAGTTTTTTTCACAACAAACCATCAATTACTTTAATTTGAATTTTCTTTTCATTATTTTAAGCTTCTTTTTTTATCTTTTTTTCCATCTTATCAATTTTATAATTTCTAAAAGCCATAAAAGGTTCTATCAAATCAATATACCTTGAATCCCCTTAAAGAATTATCGCATTTATAGCATCCGAAAAATTTTATTTTAAATGTAAAATTTAACTTTCCAATGCTTGGAATTAACCCTATTTACTTTCCAGTTAAAATTTTTGGTCATTAATAATATTTTAGAATTTCTCATTTTCCAATTTTATTGCTTCGAATTATTTTAAGATACTTTCTTTTTCTAATAAACAATTATTATGATCATTAAAAATTAAAATTTATTATCTTAACTTTTCGTTTTATATATTTTTTTTTCAATTTAATCTTTTAGTTATTAATTAATATTTTTTTCAATTTGTAAATTTTGGTTTAAAATTTCGATTGTTTAAGTTGATGTTTTTTCTTAATTTTCAATTTAATTTTTTAATAAATTTAATTAAATTTTATATTAATTTTCATTAAAGCTTAATTAATTTTATAATTTTTTTTCTACTTTTTATAAAGACTCAATTTCTAATTCCATTTAAATTATTTAACTTTACATTCTGTTCACTTCATTTTAACTCTTGATATAAAGTACAGACATTTCTTAATTTTTTTAATTTAATTTCAATATTTATTCTTACAAAAGTTTTTCGTTGCTATTTTATTATTATTATTTTTATATATTTAAAGATTCATTCCCAATATTAAAATTAATCTTCGGTATTTCTTCTTATAACTATTTAGAACTAAATTCTTCGAATTTATTTTATGAAAATTAATTTTTTTCCTTAAAAATCTGCAAATTATTAATTTTATTATTTTCTCTCTATTATGGATATGTATTTGTTCCTTTTTTTAAACAAAAAGCTCTATTATTGAGAGATAAATTTAAAAAATACTTAATTTTGTGTCCATTTCTTCTTCGAAATCATCATTAATTTCTTCATTTTTTTAATAAAAAGAATAATCTCCAAACTCATGTACTCGAATTTCATAATATAATTTAGAATTTTAATCTGGACATTTTTATAATTTCCTACATTCTTTTTTTTATCGAATTTAGTTTGTGGCATAATAGGCTATATCTAACTCTATTTTACCTGCTGTTTTTTCAATTTAATTATGTTTTATATTGATTATAAGTTCAGCTGCTTTTGACTAAAACTACTGTTATTTTTCATCCCAAAATAATGTTGCGGGAACACTCAATATTTATTTATTAAATTTCGCTAATTTATCTATTAATAAAACAGATTAAGGTATCTCTGATTTATGATCACCTTTAATTTATTTATTTATCTGTAAATTATTGATACATAAATATATATATATATATATATATTTTTTTCTAACCTCTTTTTAATAGTATTATTATTTAACAGTCATTTATACTAAAATTCATTATTAGTTTATAAAGTATTATGTCTACTTGGTATTTTATTTCTTTCGTGCCTATTCTATTTATATATTTTGACATTTTTTCTTAGGATTTTCTATAATGTATATTTATTTATTTTTATTGTAGATATTAATTAAATAATATGAGAAGAAAAAATATTAAATAACTTTTTTTAAGTTATTTATTATTTAAATATATTTCGCTCTTTTTTTGCTTTTTAATTTTCATATTTTTATATATGATATTTTTTTTATTTTATTATATAATTCATTTATATATATTATTATTCAAATTATTATACAGATTTATATTTAAATATTTAAATTAAGTTATAATTTTTATTTATTTTGAATATAGCCACCGATACAAAAAAGTTTTAAATAATAAAACCTTTAATATTTAGTTGATTTTATTATAAAAAAAGTATAAATTATTTTTTTATAAAATATATCAGAAATAAATATTTAATTTTTGAAATACATTTTAATTTATTCTTAGTATATTCTTTTTTAAATTATGATAATATAATACTTTTATTATATTTTTTTATTATTTAATTTTAATATATATTTTTATAAAAGCATGAATTTTTGAAAAAAAATAATCAAAAGTATTTAAATATTTAAAAAATAAAAAATAAAAATTTATATCCTATATCCAATAAGAAAGTTCAATAAATTAATTAAATATAATATTTTTTTAAAAAAATTGTTAAGTAGCTAATTATCATGAATTTATAAACTATAAAAAAAAATTATTAAAAATAGGCAAAAATATCAATTTATAAAAAAAAAAAATCTTGTGTTAAATGAAATAAATTTAGACATTTGTAAATTATTTAATTTAATTTTTATAAATAATTTATATATTAAAATAAATTAATTTTAGTTATTAAAAAAAAACAAAATAAAACAGATTAAAAATATATTTAATTAATTATTTTTATTAATAATAAATTATTCATATATCAGGTGATTTATAATTTTTTATTATGAATAACAAAGATACTTTTCTTTATTAATTTATAAGATATATATTAATTATTCATTTAAATGATATATTTATTATACACGTAATTTTTTAATTATTTAATTGCTTTTTTATTACTTTTAATTAATATTATATTTAGAGAATTATAATAATATATATAACAAAATAATATTATATTTATATAAAATATTGCATATAAAATAATTTATCAGATATGAAAAAAAACATATAAAAAACAATTAATATGCTCTAAAAAAATGTAAAATATATATTTTTGTGCACTAGAAAATTACAAAAAAAAATGGCATTATTTTTATAAAATATACAAAAAAAATAAATTATTTATATAAAATAAATACAGTAAAAAAATTAAAGTTAAAATTATTAACTTTATTAAAAAAAAAAACTAATATTACGTCTGATCTATATAATATAGAAACATTAAATAATTAAAATTATTTTTTAATATTAGATATAAAAAAATTAGATTTAGTATCTTTATTTGTATATTTTTTCATTTAATTAGAATTATATAAACCTATAAAAAAAAAAAATCAAAATAATTTTTTTATAATAAAAAAAAACAAAACAAAAATAAACAAATAAATCTAAAAATTTAAAACAAAAAATCATGACCGACAACCAATATATCTCAGAACAAATAAAAAAAATACTCTAATCTAATAATTTATAATCTGATTAATAAATTATTACAAAACTAATAAAAATTATGTTCAAAAACTCTTTAACTGAACTCAACAATTATAGATAAGATCTAAACTAACTCTAATAAATTTTATAATCCAGGCTTGATTTTTAACATTAATAAAGAGAAATTAAAAACGCCTTAGATTAACTCATAGATAAACTTAAAGTAACCGAAAATATAATGGTTAGAAGCTTAACAAACGTAATAACCATCGATTTTAAACTAAGTAGAAACGAAAGTAAAGATATTGCATGTTTATTATACTAAATGTAGTAATAGCATATAATAAAAATAGTTACCTAACATATAAAAACTCACACTAATGAAAAGTATATCTATTAAATAAGAAAAAATTTTGTAAAATCTAACAGTTAGGTGTTTTAAGAAATTGCTGAAGTTATGTGAGAGCAATGAGAAGAATAAAAGGATTTTTCTTTTTTATTTTATAAAAAAAAAATCAATTTATAGAAATTTATATTTAAATAAAAAGAAAACAAACATTATAATAATTAACAAACATATTTAATAAAGGAATGTTTTGTACATATATAATTGTAATAATTTATTTTTTTAGAAAACATATATATGAATTTAAAAATTTCATTTAATTTTTAAAAACTTTTATGTTTTAAAAGTAATTTATTAATTTATTATATATATAACTAATAATTTCAAAAACTTATAAAATATGTAATTAGAAAATTTATTTAAATAAAATTTATTATAAAAAATATTTAAAAAAAATATATATATAGTTTAAAATAAATTAAGAAATTATAAATAAAATAAATTGATAGAAATATTATAATAATATTACGTATATATTAAAAAAATTTTATTATAATAATTTGTTTAATTTGTTATATTAAATAAAAAAAAGAAAAATATAAAAATAAATTATATTTTTTTATTTTATGTCATTTACTTTTAAGCAATATATAAAAAAAAAATTATCGTTCATTAAGATTAATACATTAAATATTAAAATGATTCTATTTTTAAAAAATTAATGGATTAAATAATAATTTATTTAAAGTTTAAAAAGGAAAAATATTAAAAAATAAATATTTATAAATTTATTTAAGAAAATATAAATTTATAAAATAAAAAACTATAATAAGATATAGAAATTTCGATATATTATTAAATGTAAAAATATTTAAAAATAATTTTATGCAAATATAAATTAGAAAATATTTATAGTTAATTATATTATTATAATTTTTATAATTTTGTCTAATTATAATGAAATATTATATTAATTATTTGGTAAATTAATATTATATATATATATATTAAAATACTTTTTTTTATTTTATTATATTTATAAAATACTTTTTATAATATAATTTTATATAAAAAATATATTTTTTTTTTTTTTTTTTCTATTTTTTCAAAGAAATTTGAATTCACATAATGATTAATTAGTCTTGTAAAATTTAATTAATATTTAATTTTTTTTTTAATTTTAAATATGTAAAAAAAAGTTATATTTTTTTTTAATAAATAATTTTTTTTATAAAATTTATATAATATAATTGTAATAGAATATAATAATATATATATATATATATATATAATTCAAATTAAATCATGAAAAAAATGATAATTTAATAAATTTAATTAATTTAGAATTTGGTTTAAAAATAATTTAAATTTTATTATTATTGTTGTTGTTATTATTGCAAATTTTATTTATTAATTTTTATTTTCAATTTTTATATTTCTTTATTTTTTTTTATTATAAATACACACATACTTTTATTTTATTTTTAAAAATAATGCAAAATAAATAAATAGCCTTAATTTAAAAGTTTAAATACAAAATTTTCTTTTAATTTGATTGTTTCTATGTATTTTTTAATCAATTATTTTCTATTTTACAAATAAAAAAAAATTATATTTTACAAAAAAGTAAAATCAATAATAATAATCATCTTAATTTTCCAAAAGTTCACTTCTTCTATCATAAAAAAATGCATCATTTTTATCAATTAAATTATCCTAAACTGACTTAAAATACTTCTTATTTTACCAAAAGAATATATAATATACTAAGCATGGCTATACAAAAAAAATAACTATTTTCCCAATTAGAAAAATCACGAAAGTTAAAAAATCTCTTGAATAAAAATAATAATAACAATCAAATTCACTAATGGCATTACTAAAAGCAAAATAATCCCAAAAAAACTGTACAAAAGCAGGAATCAAATTACTTAAAATTAATAAAGCCAATTAAATTTTTCTACTTTCAATTTCATCCTTAGATACTTTTTTGTTTCCTTATTCAAATCCATTATTTTTCTTAATCAGAATAACTTAAAAGTATTTGAATTATATGAAGGCCTACATAAGAAATCAAGCCTGAATATACGCAACTTGAACCCGAAAGTAAAATCCAATCTATGCTTTGGCAAGAATATAAAATCTCATTATCGTTATTTTTGAGTAGTAATTATAAAAGCCATAATGCGAGTAAATAAATAAATGAAATTTTCGCAAACTGATAATATTTATTTATTTTTGATTCGTCACTGTCGAAAAAACAGAAAATTATGTAACATGATATTATTTAATTAGCGAAAATAAAGACCTTAGTGTGTACAGGAGAAGATCATTATTTATAATTGTAAAATATATCACTAATATTATTATTTGGATAAATGAAATTAATATCATTAAGATATCTATTTTGTCTAATATTTAGTTCTTGTCTTTTAGTATTATTATGTTGGCTCGGATTGCAAATAAAAATATTAATATTGTTATTGCTAATAGAAATGTCATTTCTATACATAAATATATACTAAATGAGGAACATGAATTTATTAAATTTAAAGTAAGCATTTTTTATTTTTCCTTATTTTTTTTTAATAACAAATTAAATTTTTTATATTTAATTATATATTTATGTATATTTTTTTTATTTAAATTTATGTATATATTATTATTATTTTATATAATTATAAGTATTTTAATGTAAAAATTATTTTTAATTGTATTTTTTATATAAAAATATTTAAAATATATTTATCAATTTATTTAAAAAGTGTATGTAAAAAATATAAAATTTATTGTGTTTTCAATCTAATTATACTTGAAACAAAAATTTCTATTAAATAAATATTAAAAAGTATATACAATTATAAATTATATAAATTTTAATTATTATATATTTAAAAAATAAAAATATTATAAAAAAGAAAATAATGAAATATAAAGATTAAATATAATAATTATTTAATAATATATTTTATAATTAAAAATATCTTTTTTTTATAAAAATAAATAAAATAAAAAAAATATGTAAAAAAATATAATAATAATATTTCTCTTTTTAGCATTATATTCTTTCGAAAAGACAAATATTGCAAAATACGAATACATTCCTCAAGTAACCTAACCTCGGTAAAAAGCTCCATATTTTTCTGCCATAGCAGTAACTCCTGAAGGTAAATTCGAAACTAGATCATTAGATTAATATGAAGGTAAATATTTAGTTATAGTATTTTACCCATTTGATTTCACATATGTATGCCCAACTGAACTAGTAGCTTTTTCAGATTCAATCTAATAATTCAAATAAATAAATACAGAAGTAATTGCTATTTCTACAGACTCCCATTTCACACATTTAGCATGGATTAAAACTCCTAGAAATTAAGGAGGAGTAGGAAAACTTTAAATTCCTTTACTTGCAGATATTTCCAAAAAAATATCAAAAGCTTATGGAGTTTTAGTAGAAGATGAAATGGATGAACTGTACGGAGCTTCTTTAAGAGGACTTTTTATTATAGATGAGAAAAGAACTATAAGGACTATTCAAATTAATGATGCGCCAGTAGGTAGAAGTGTAGAAGAAACTTTAAGATTAATAAAAGCATTCTAACATACTGATAAGCATGGAGAAGTATGCCCTGCTGGATGGCAACCAGGAGAAAAAACGATTATTCCAGATTAAAATGAAAAACTATAATATTTTGAAAAAATAAAATAATGATTTTTATATATTTACAATAAATTAAATATATATAATATTAAATAAAAAAAAAATTAATATATATAAAAATATATGTATATAAAATATATATATTATTATATATTAAATATAAATATATTATAATTATTATAAATATATATAATATTCATATTTTAATATTAACATATAATATATATTCATTATTATTTTTATTTATTATTTAAATAGTTGAAATTTTAATTTTTCTTTGTATATATAATCTTTTTAATATTTATATTCCTTTTTATATAAATATATTTAAAATATGAGGAAAAAAAAAAAGATATATATAAAAAAAAAAAATATTATTAAAAAAAAATTATTATTAAAAAAAAATTATACTTTAAAAAATAATAAAAAATATTAATAAAAAACATTTAAATCAAAAAATGATCCCATAAAGATTAAACTTAATTGAAACTATTTTAATAAGCGCTCCTCTTTTTAAAATAGAAGAATAAATTCTATACTAAAAATAGCACATAAATAATGATTTATCTAATACTACAACACCAACTTTAAAGTCATAATCTACTATAAATACAATGGAATAAATTATAATACCTAATTTTGATAATTTATAATAATTTAAAGATATAAATACAATAATACAAAACTAAAAACTTTATAATTATTTAAATTTTTCTAATAAAGAATCATTTTATACAAATAATAACTAAAATATAAATGATTTATAATAATTTTTGCAAGAAATATAAAAAAATAAATATATTTTATTAAAATCATAAAATGTAAATCTTCCTTTATTCAAATAAAATACTGAAAATTTTACAGTATTTACGTTTCTTTTACCAAATAGTATTAAATAACAATAACAATAACAATAACAATAACAATAACAATAACAATAACAATAACAATAACAATAACAATAACAATAACAATAACAATAACAATAACAATAACAATAACAATAACAATAACAATAACAATAACAAAAACAATAACAATAAAAATAACAATAAAAATAACAATAACAATAAAAATAACAATAACAATAACAATAACAATAACAATAACAATAATAATAATAATAATAATAATAATAATAATAATAATAATAATAATAATAATAATAATAATAATAATAATAATAATAATTTTAATTATAAATAACAATATTAAAAAAAGATTAAAAAAATGTAGAAAAACAAAAAAATAAAAAAATAGTTGTAGAAGAACAACAAAATGAATAGAATTTTATTTAAAAAGTTAAAAAAATAAATAAAAAAATAAAATAAATTCCACTTAAAATAAAAAATAATAAAAATTAAATAGAAATTAAAGATTTTTTAAATGAAGAATAAATTTTAATTGAATAAATAAAATAAATGACCAATAATAATAACAAATAAAATTTCAATGAATATGAAATTTTATAAAATGAAGATGAAATTCTTGAATTTTACCAATTAAAAAAGTTTAAATCTTTAGGAAATAAAAATAAATTTGATACTAAAAATCTCGTTAAAAATTTTTTGAATTCCTTCATTTCATTTGCAAATCAAGAGGAAGAATAATCTAATATTATAGACTTTTTAGGCTTTGAATATATCTAATAATTAAATGATTTTCGATAAAATTTAAAAAATTTCTTTAAATGTAAAAAATTTAATAGAGTATTGCTAAAGGAATTCATCTATGAAGATATTTTTAGGCCTTTATTCCTTTATTTTCTTTAAAATAATGCACTTTAATGGATTTAAAGTGGTAGAATGAAAGATAAAAACTCTCATTTAAGGGCCCTTAAAAACTTTATTTATGTTTGTTAAAATTATGATTAAATTAAATCTTGGAGGTTTAGATATAATTTTGTTTAAAATTGATTTTTTTACATTTTTTAATAAAATAATAAAAAAATTGTGTATATAAATGAAAATTTTAATTTTTTTAATTTATTTATCAATATATATATTATATATTAATTTAACTTGATTTAAAAAAAAATTAATTATATAAAAAAACAACATATTTAATTTTTTATTTATAAATTTAATTATTAATTTTTTATATAAATAAAAAAAAAAAAATTACAAATTCATTTAGGTTTAATTATTTTCGGAAATTATATATAAAAAGGGCAAGTATTTTAAAAATTTTTACTAAAATAATCGATATAATTATGATTAGTTTCTCTTTATTTAGGCTGAGAAAGTTTATTACTTAAGACCTTTTATGATTTCGATAATAAAATATCTTTTATAGTAACTTTGTAAAATTTTTTTGATGGTGATTGCACGTCAAATTAATTTCTTAAAGATTATTGAAATGCGTTTCTATAATTTCCATTATCATTAAAAAATCCTCCTGAATTATGTCTTTATGTATATATAAATATATATATATATATATATATATATATATATATATATATTTATATATATTTTTTTATAAAATAATATTATAATATACACATAAATTTTTTTAAATATGCATGTATATATAAATTATTTAATTAACTAATATACACAATATATCCATCTCTACCCTTTCCATCTGATTGATATTTTTTTTTTTTTTAATTATATTCTGGTTTATATTCTTGATAATTACCTATTTTAAAAAAATTTCCATTTAAATCATAAGGATTATATCTTGATTTAAAATTATCCCCATTATCATTTAATATATAACTATCTCTTCCTATTAAAATAAATAGTTATATTTATTTTTTTCTTATAAAAAAAAAAATGTTAATATTATATTTTTTTTTTATAAATTTATGATTTTTTTTATTTTATTATTTTAAACCTTGACCATGATCAGAATAATACTATATTGATTTTTTATCGTTATAATTTGCTCTCCAGAGAGAATTACTATTCATCATCCTCATTAATTTATAATTTTTTTTTTTATTTTCTTATATTTTTTAATAATTTTTTTAAATATTCACTTAATTTATTTTTAATCATAGAAATTTCATATATATTTTTTTGTATTATTAATTAATACCATTCATTATTTTAATAATAAATGAAAAATAAAAAAAATTACAACTTTTTTTTTAATAAAAAAAATAATAATTATAAATATTAAAAAAAAATTAAAAATTATAATCTTATATATATGATTAATTAATATAATATTATATTAAATTAGATTTTTAAATTTTATATATATTATAATTTTTTAGATATAATAGTCATAATTAGTTATAAATTATTAATATATTTATAATATTATTAATAAAAATGATAATGATTATATTTATTAAAATATAAAAAATAAATAATAAATATTAAATATATAAAATTAAATTTTTTAAATATAAAAATTATTATTAAATTTTTAATCTATTATATAAAAATTAATTAAATTTAAAAATATAAATTATAATATAATAATTGTAATTATAAAAAAAATTAGAAAAAATATAATTATAAAAAAAAAAATATTAAAATACAAAAATAAATTTAAATCAAAAAATATTACAATCATAATTTTAAGGAATTCTTACATCACCCTGTAAATTATTTTGTTCTCTAATATTAGCTAAACATTGTTATCTTTTTTCTACAATTAACTATATTTTATTATCATAAACCTATCATAAATATATATATATTTAAATATATATATATATATATATATATATATTTATAAATTAAATAAATATATACATCATTCTTTTTAATAACACCATTACTTTTATCTCTAATAAATATTCCTACACAATCATTATTATAAACTTAATTATTACTGAAATCAGGCCTCGAATCTTTTATAAACATTACTCCATGGCTTTTATTATTATATATTTAATTATTTTAAATAACTGGAATAGATGTAACTGAAATAATACCATCATTATTTTCATAAATTTTATTTCTAATAATCCAAGTTTTTCCACCATCAATAATAAAAATTCCCTCACATCTACCTGAATGTATTATATTATCTACAATCAATGTATCAACAGAATTACTACCCCCTAAAGCTATATTTGCCTTTAAATTATCATAAATTTCATTTTTTTCAACTATAGCACTTGAAGTTTCAACTAAAAGAACTCCCTTATATATATTTATATATATATATATATATATATATATATATTATATATATATTTATATATTTATTTATTTATTTATATTTTTATTTATTTATATATTTATATATATTTACTTATCCTAAATTTTTTGAAATATTATTTTTATATATTGCAATTTCAGCATTTTCATCAGCTCTTATTCCACTTTTTTTATTATAACTAATGCATTAATTTTACTCTATTTTTGTATAATTTTTAATACCACTACATGAAATTCCATATTATTTATTTCCAGAAATACTGATATTACTTTTAATTCTACCATCACATCTATAATCTTGAAAAACCAAAGATACAATTCCTGATGTATTATTTTTATCAATTTTATTATCCATAATATAGGGATCAGAACTAATAATTTCTATTCCAGGTGAATTTAATCTAATTTCATTTCTAACAATACTAGACTTGTTAGCAATACCAGTTCTAATACCTGGACCTTTAGTTCTTTCTATAAATTAAAAATATTTTTATATTAAAATTTATATAATTATAAATTTATATATATATATATATATATATATATATATATATATATTATTTTTAAATATACATAAATTATTGTTTCATTTACCTATTCTATTTCCTTCTATAACTGCTCTTGAGTCAACACCTTGGCATTAAATTCCTACTTTATCGTTTTAAAGAATTTTAGTGTTTAATATTTTTATAAAATTTGTTTGTTAGGATAATATATGTATTCCACCAGCACGATGATTATGAATTTTACAATCTTTAATCAATACATCGCCATTTTATACTAAAACACCAATTGTTTCTTAACTTTAATGTCCTTTTATTTCACTTCTGTTTAATATTAATTCTGATTATTCATTTACTAGAATAGCTGGCAATAATTATTTAAAAGTGTAAACAATAAAACTTTCAAAAATAAATATTAATAAAAAATTAATTATAAAAATATATATTTAAATATTACATATATATATATATATTATATTTAATTTTACTTTAAAGAAAGTAGGCAATCTTCAATAAATAATTTTCCCCCAAAAATTGTTACAATACTATGTACATGCTTGTTAATATGGAAATAATTAACAAGTTCTTTTTCTGGTGTTGTTTATATTTAATGAACTTTTGAATTTTTGTCTCTTTCGTGTTGTTCTGTATTATTTTTACTGTTTTAAAATCTGCTTTTTACATTTACTTCTTCTTTTTCACTATATTTTTAAGTTTTTTTTTAAAATATAATTTTACTCATCAGTCATGCCTGTATGTGCTAATTTTAAGCCTAATAAATGACATTTTTCTTATTTTTATAAATCAATAAGTATAACAGGCCCTTTACTGCCTATAATTATAATATCCCCGATCTTTTCTTTTGGTTCTAATCGAATTGATGGTTTACTTTTTTTCATTTTTTATAAAATAATATATCAATGATGTTTATTAAGTTATTTTTTAAATAAAATAAAAAACTTTATTTTCAAATTTTCTTGATATAATCCAGGAGATATTTTTATTACACATCCTGCATCTGCTTCATTTATTGCTTATTATATTGTTTTTATTGGACCATCTTCTTAATCTTTTTTAACTTTTTCAATTAATATTTGAAATTTTTAAAATACCTACTATCAATTATTACTTTAATGCTTAATGTAAGGCTGATTCTATTACAGGTTTAAAATTATTTTATGTGTCTGAATTCCCTTTGTTTATTAACATGTTATTATTGCTCATTTGATTAGGAAATTTAATGCTTATTTAAATATTTTATTTATTTAATATTTTTTATAAAGTAAATTTGAAAAGTTATTTTTAAAATAAAAAAAAAATTTAAATGTAATTTTTATTTTTTTAGAAAAATAAAATTAAAATGATATAAATTAATATATTTTATTTGATTATTAAATAAAATCAATATATTATTAAATTGATTAAATTATAGACCTACTTTTTTAATAAATAATTTTATTTAATTAAAATTTCTAAAATTTAATAAACTTTTTTAAAAAATAAATTAAATATAAAGAAAAAATATAATTTTTGTTTTTGCTAATTCTGAATTGAAATAATGTTTTAATTTTATTCTCAATACTGTATTTTTAAAAATTATTAATTTTTTTTTTTTTTAAATTTTAATATATAAAAATATTTTATTAAAAATTCGTTATTATAAACTAATATAATATAATTAGTAAAAACAGTCGTAACACTTAAAAAAAGAAATATAAATATTTATATATATATTTTAATAAAAAAATAAAATACAATAAAAATATTATAAAAGAATAAGTAAACATAAGTTATAATAAGAGAAAAAAAAAATTTAAAAAACATTAGTTAAAAAATATTTATAAACTTTTCTCAATTTAACTATAAGTATAAATGTTAAAAAATTATTCAAGAATAAATGTATAAAATAAAATTAAATTATTAATAATATAAATTCAAAATAATAATAATAAAAAAAAAAAATATTTAAATAATGAAATTATTGAATAAAATAATGATTTTATGTCTTTGAATTTATAAATTAAAAATAAAAATAAAAATAAAAAATAATTTAATTTAAATAAAAGATATTAAATAAATTAAATATATAATAGAAAATAAAAAAATAATTATTAATTTTTTTTATAATAATTAGATATATCTATGTAAAAAAATTATATTTAATAAATAAAATATATATATTTACATATAAAATTAGAAATATAAAAAAAAAAATATTATAAAAATAAATATATATATATATTTTTAATAATTAAATATATACATATATATATATATATATATAGATATATGTATATACATATTTATACATATATATATATTTTTTTTTATTTAATAATTTTTTCATTTTTTTTATATATTTAAATTTAATTTGATATATTTTTAATTCTTTTTTTTTATTTTAATTATTTTTAGATTAATATTATTATTAATATTTGTGTTATTTATTTGTTTTTTTTTTTTTTTTTATTACTAACTTTCATTATTTTTATTTTAGAGAGTTAAATATTTTTTTCTTTTTCTATTTTATTTGTTTAAATTAGTATACTATATTGGATTAGATAATAATCAGTTTAAATATAAGTTTAAAAAAATTTTTATATTTTTAAAAATTAAAATTACAACATTTCTACATTTCTAAACATGTAAAGAATTTTTTTTTCTATTTAGTATACTGTGTTTAAAAAATATAAAAAGAGAAAATTAAATATAATTGATATAATAAAATATAATATGTTATACAAACTTTATAAACATATATTTTTTTTTAATTGCTTAAAATATATATAACGTTGCTTATATTTGTTTTATATATTAATATTTTGTTATAAAATTTTTTAAAAATATTATTTTTTATTGTTTTAACAAATGAATACAAATAATATTTAGTAATTTTAAGAGACTAAGTAAAATATTTATTTAGTTCTTGATTAAAATGAGTATTTAAAGAAGAAAATTCAAATTCTAAAAAATAAATTATTTTTCCAATAAACTGAAAATTAAGCAATAGTTTAAAATTTATATGCATAAAATAAATAATTAAAAAGTGAATATAACGATTTATTTACGTAAGTTACTAATCAAAAAATAATTATAGATTAATCAAGAAGATTTAATGATAATAGAAATATAATTGAAAATTCAAAATAGCAAAATAAATTTCATAAATATGATTATAATTATAGCTAAACAGAAAATGTAAGTAAAATTAATAAATTTTTTGTATTGAATCATAATTACTATTGAATATAATTTAATATTTAATTGTTAAAATTTGAATAATTAATTATTAAAATTTTATTTAATCTTTATTTTTTAAAATATAGTTTTAATTGAAATAAATAATAATATCAATAAAATATAAGAATTATAAGTTATATTTTTATAATGTTATAAAAAACCTTAATGTAATTAAAAATAAAAAGTATTAATAAAGAAAATTAATATATATATATATATATATATAAATATATATATATATATATTTTATAGTTAATATTTTTTTATAAAATTTTTATTTAATATATGAAAAATTTTCTTAACATTTTATTTACGTAAATTTTATTATATTATATGTTTT